AGGCAGGTGAGCAGGCAACAAGATAGAAGATGGAGAATAAAGAAGGGAATGATCATGACTGTATAATTATAACTTTATGTTGTATAGAAGGTTAATTTGTCTTTAAAAAATAGAAATTGAACTCTACCAAGTGTCTCTCAGAAGTCATGAGATGTTGATTCACCACAGCCCAAAAGGAGAGATAGACTAAACTGATTCTCAGCATCAACTGTTATGGTTTCCTTATGGTAAAATAGAACTGCCAGGACGATATAGTCTAAGTGCTTCCCTATATGTTAGTCCATGTAAGATATACCTTAATCACTTGGTGAGACACACATTTTGAAATTTATATATAGCACTATGTATACAGGAATGGTACCTTATACTTACACATAGTTTGGGTTCTACTCTTATTTATTTTACTGTTACATTATATACACAACTGATTGACTGCCTAACTGATTGTCATAGATCAGCACACTGACTGTACGGAGAGGGAGACCTTTTGTACAAGGCGTCACATTCAAGAACTAATGGAAGAAAACTGACCATCACATGTTGTAGTGTCATCTATTCATTTTAAAGGTATTGTGCCTTTCTGAGATCTGTGTGATAATTCATCAACCACAAAAGGAGACTCTTAGAATTCAACTAACCTCTAGACAACACATCTCCATCAAAACGAAAGCATTTGAACTAAATAGTTTGAAGGGGCTAACTGGAGAGTTTTACTTAGATGAGATAAACCAAAGTTAACTAATCTAAAATGATCCAAACTCCCTTTATCAACTGACAAAAGGTGTGAGAATTAAAATCTCCTTAGAAAAAAACAAAGACTGAAAGGACACCATAAGAAATTCCAGCATACTTGACTTAGCCTTATGGAATGATGGCTCACCAAAGTTAAAATGTAAGCCATCACAAGTGTGGGTCCGTATAAGACTCCATGAGACACTATTTTGGTAGTACTCAAAGAATCAGCCTGAAATGCACTAGCGGAGGTGTCACCATCAGAGACACCTTTTTCAACATGGAGATAGAGAAAGGCAAACCAACTAAAGGACTGTTATATTGAACCATCTACCAACATTTAATGAACATTTAATGCCATAAAAGTGAATTGAAGTAGCCTTCACTGCCTCTCAGAACCTGCCTGCTCAGTCGATCTGTGGGAGAAGCTGTCAGCCATTGAAATACAAAAGCCATCACAGCTGAAATATTCCGACTTCAAATTTTCACCCCCTCCAACTTGGAAAGAGAATTCTCAAGCAAGTCACAGGCTTGCAACGGTAACTGTCTGATATCATTTTCATCATTGTAAGTTTCTGTAATCCTTACATACATTTAATCATTGTATCTGTAGCTTTAAACAGTAATTTCAGCAATAATGGCATAATTAGCCGACTTTTATCTTTTTAAGATTAAAACTTTCCTACAAATTATTCTTAAATTAGAAAACTTAAGAACTAAGTGTTAAATCAGCTGTGCAAATTCACAGCTCATGGACTGCTTGGTGGACATGCCTGTTGTGGATGCCAAGGCAAGTGTGAGGTTATTTATTTTGATCATAAGAATAGAAAAGCAGATTTTTTTGAAAGCCAAGAAGCTTGTAAATGTTAATTTTGAGAGAGGTTCAATATGAAAGTTTGATGTGCAGATATAGTAAGCAATTAGGAAGTTAAGTAGGATGTGGCCTTTACTGCAAAGGGATTAGAGTACAAGACTGGGGTGGCATGGTGGCTCAGTGGTTAGCGCTGCTGCCTCACAGCACCAGGAACCCAGGTTCAATGCCCCCTTGGGCAACCATCTGTGTGGAGTTTGCACATTCTCTATGTGTCTGTGTGGGTTTCCTCTGGGTGTTCTGATTTCCATCCAAAGATATGTAGGCTAGGTGGATTGGCCATGCTAAATTGCCCATGGTGTTCAGGGATGAGTAGATTAGGTGGGTTTGGGAAAGGGTCTGGGTGGGATGCTCTGAGGATTGATGTGGACTTGTTAGGCCAAAGAGCCTGTTTCCACACTGTAGGGGTTCTATGTAAGACTAAAGCAATCATGTTCCAATTGGACAGACTTTTGTTGAGATCATACCTGTAACACTGATTGCAAATGTAGTGGTAGATTTTGCTGTGGGCTTGGGAAAAACAGATTTTTGTACCCTCCAAAATACACACAGCTGATCCACATATGCCATTGCCTGAGACTTTTGTTTTTTTTCACAGGAGTTAAGTCAACTGTGCACTTTTCAAAGTATGATTGAGCTCATGAAGGGTGTGTGAGCAGCTAACCTTGCAGTTTAATACAGGATGAATACTTGTCCCTGTTGTGACTGCTAATCTTTCCAGATGACCCTTGTTTAATTTTTCTGATCCTTCCTGTTGAACCTGTTCATTTTCTTTTTTTCTCCAAGACTGATCCCTCTAACCGGTCACTTGCTATTCGCTCTGTTACCTCTGACTATCAATGTTTGAATCCTCCTTCTTTCTTTCTGTGTTATAACTTTTTGCCTCTGAAAACTCCCTGACCTCTGTACTACTAATAGGGCTGGGGGGAGTGGGGCATGTGGCCCATTATATCTGTGATAATATCTTTGCTAACACAATAAAAACATAATCCTATTGTCCAGTTCTCTACCCATAACTACGCATCTTCTGCTTCAAATATTTATCCACACATTCAAATCTATTCCGGTTGATCTCTTTAGTCTAATCACTTGACAATTTTCTCACTTTTTACTGTGCCTGCTATCTCCTCCTCACTAAGCAATTTCAGCCACAGAGGTTTATCGATGGTAGTCAGCTAGAGGAACCAGAAGCTATACCAGGTTCAGAGATAGTAGGAACTGCAGATGCTGGAGAATCTGAGATAACAAGGTGTAGAGCTGGATGAACACAGCAGGCCAAGCAGCATCAGAGGAGCAGGAAGGCTGACGTTTCGGGC